ACACTGCAGGGAGAATACACCATGACGGACGAGGCCCAAGAACAAAAGCATATGTATCAACACCGCTTTTGTTTGTTGTTTGAAGCCGTACTCAGCAATATTCCAGCTATATGACGGCGGTCTGTAAATAATCGAGTCTGGACCATACAATCCAGTGATTGACATCATGAACATTGATCCACACAATTGGGATCGATGACATGCATCAACCAAGTCAGCGAGCCTGACCACCCGATCCTGTGAGTCACCTTTTGCGACAAGCATCATAAGTCGCCTTTTACGGCAAGCATAGGTTGCTGAATACCTAATTTAACCTGGATCTTCACGGGTCTCATCACAGTCGGAGGTTTATGGTGTTCAATCCCCTCTCCCACCTTTTGAAAGTAACAGATGGACCCCCAATAAAACCACAAAAGACATTCTTGTTATTGAAATACTCATGTAGATTAAATCAGTGGGATTTAGATCGTTAATCCGACAGTCTTGCACTGAGACTTAAATGAACACACCTATTTTGCAAGGGACTGCTGAAATCACTCATTAATCAGACTCTTTAATCTGACGATGATCAGTGTACTACTGTGACACGTGAGTACATATTCCCATGTTTTGATGCGAGACGAGATAAACTTGCAAAACAATTAACGAATATATAGTGCCTTTTCACTTTCTAAAAAGGTCAAATGTAACAATTTTTCATATTTGGGATAACAGTCTTTCTAAGTAAAGAACAAATTCTTGTACTTTTTGGGTTGAGGTCATCTGGGATTCGAACCCACGCTCCCAGAGTGAGGCACCTAATCGCCAGCGCACAAGTCTGAATTTAAGCAGTCTAACCCACTCAACCAATGAGGCTTTTGCAAAATGGAAGACTGACAGCTAGTAGACCAGTTTTATGCGTCAGAAGGGTACACAAAAATCAGGTTGTGCTCATGCATGCTTCGTATTTAAGAAATAAACAATGAGTAGGAGTTGTTTGTCATAAACAAAACACGGCAGAGAGAATAAACCATGAGGGGCACAGTGTAATGATGTTCTTTGCGATTTTTCACGTAGCTATCATATATAGTTACATCGAGCACTGACTGCACCAATACATATGATATGACTCATGACATCACAAATTGATTAATATATACAAGATTATCTGTCCCTAGCGAACAGATGTCCTGCTCCAAAGACTTGGTGCTCGGTATATCAATCGTCTACCCATGAGGATCCAGGGTAGAATAGGTCTTCAGCAACCCATGCTTGTCGTAAGAGGCGACTAACGGGATCGGGTGGTCAGGCTCGCTGACTTGGTTGATGCATGTCATATCCCAATTGCATGGACCGATGCTCATGCTATCAATCACTGGACTGTCTGGTCCAGACTCGATTATTTACAGACCGCCGTCATATAGCTGGAATATTGCTGAGTGCAGCGTGAAACAACAAACAAACAAAATATATATAAACAAGTGATTTCATCAGGTGTATAAGTATTAAATATACAAAAAAACAGAGTCCAGATATTCATGCTTGTAAAAACTCCTTTATTCACACAAGATCTTTTGCCGTTCAACGCCTCTTCAGGTTAATGAAAACTTTAACTTACATTGTAGTCCTAGGGGACACACAACAGTAGTATTTGTGGCGTCATAATGCCTATGATGTAACGGTGACAATAGAGTACCTACAATCCTAGAAACTGTAAAATTATGCCCCTAATAGAAGCCAATCTTCCAATATATATAATCTGTGTTTCCTTTCAGTTCAATTATAATACTCAATGTTGGCTGGTTTGGTCACATATCAATCCGTTTAATTCTGATATCAGGGATTGATTTCGCTATATCCAAGCTGCACCAGTGCAGGTAAAACACTGCAATTAAGTGCAGGTAACTTTTATTGCCAGGATACACCAAGTGCAGGTAACATTTCCCACCACAAGTGCGCGGCAGCAGTTACAACGATAGGAACTATTTAGCCAACTAGTCCTTATAATGATATCACATAGCAAAACCCTTAAAAATGGTACATTTCTACTAGTCCTAAATTATGATACTTTAATTATTGGGCATTTAGGCAAGGATGACAGGACGAGTGCCAATTTCTAACGCTGAGTTATATTTGATAAAAGTGGAAAACTGAATTCCTTTAGAACTGGCTGCTAATCAAGCAAAAGTTCTTGAAAATAGTGAAATACACAGTTGGTGTAGAACTAATTCTTCACAACTACCACTAGAACAGTCAGTCATGAGGTGACAGTCACAACAGACAGATACTTTGAAACTTCTTTTAAAGGTTGGATATCAAGATGTCAAAAGCCATATACAGATGTCTCCAAAATAAAATACTGGAGCACATTTTCAAGTTAATTTTCTCTTTGATTTTTTAAAATATTCAAACTTACTGAAAATACAGTGTATCAATTCATGATAAAATGGTGCAGCCAATATTTTGGTGGTGCCACCTGATTAATTGACTTGGTTGCACCTGGTGCAGGTGGTAAAACAGAATGAAATCCCACCCTGGATACGAAGGGGAGTCCGAGTATTTGTTTCAAGGTAACTGGAGACAGTTTGATGACACACTTGATTAATGGATGTTTCACTGTGTGCCTTGTCTTGCTTACATGAAGCACTTGTATAGCATACAACTGTACACGTTCTGTGCCTGCTATAATGAGGTCGGCAAGCAACTAGATATCAAGTTTCACAACAAGCTATTATTCATTAGGATACAAAACTTATTAATACCACTGATGGAGGAAATGTATGTGCTCTCTCAACCATGTCAATAAAGAAGTTTCTTTACGTCATTTGTTTGAAATGTATGTGATAGTGCAGTTTCAAAATTAACAATAGAGGTCACATGGGTCCTTGACATGACCTTGACCTAGATTCAAGTACCATTGCTGAGGGGGGCAGGGGGGTGTTTGCATTGGTGGGGTGGTGGATGCTGTATTGGAGAGTGATTGTGTTGAATACGGTATATTTACAAATTCATTTCTATCAGTATATATGGGACCGCCTCTGTGGTCTAGTGGTAGAGCGTCTGCCTTGAGAGCGGAAGGTTCGGGGTTCGATCCCTGGCCGCGTCATACCAAAAGACGTTAAAAGATGGTATTTGTTGTTACCCTGTCTGGCGCTCGGCATTAAGGGGCGCTAGGACTGGTCGTCTCGGAGTCAGTATACTGTGTCTGAGAGGGGTATTCATGTTAAACTGCGGCATGGTATCTCAGTGGGCTGGCACTATAAATTGGCTTAAGTCCAGACCAGTACAAGCAACCACACACACATAGACACACACATGCAAGTCGCTATATAAGTGCAATAATCTTGAGCACGACGTTAAACCCCATTTCACCTCACCTCACCTATCAGTATAGTCATTAATAGTATCATTTCATACCAAATGCCAGTCATTCTGACATGTTTGTCAAACTGTAGCTCCAGGTGACCACCACTTCCTGTCTTAAATAATGTAGTTTCTATCATTATTCTTTGAGGGATTTTTCTAGTATCCCCTGGCAGGCAAATCGGGGGAAAATGGTTGTTTCGTTCAAATAAGGTTTTTATTCTCTGAAATTCAGAACTGCATTTAATGCAATGATGTAAACCTAAGTACAGAAGCATATTGACATTTAGACCCAGAAATAAGTTATCTTAGTTACAAATATATATCTACAAAATAAAATAATAATATCCAGTGGAGCCCACAGGACTCCTTATTTCAGTAGCCTAGAGCTGAGGCAATCTAGACTTTCCAAATCATTCTAGACTTGAGTTGAACTCCTTTTTTCATTAATTCTCAAGGGTCTAGGAGACAGACCAGCATTTCCCCTCTTTATTGGTCCTGTGATCCCTGAAATACAAGTCGGATTTGGTATCAAACGTCTCAGAATTTTGAGAGCTTTCCAACAAGCCATCATGCACTAAAATCGCTTGATATTAAAGAAATATGTGTTTTTCACTTCTCCAGCAAAAGGACTTCCAAGTCAGCAAATGGAAAAGACATTGTTCTACCTTGTGTGTTTGAGAAACGCACCAATTTTCGTATTTGGAGTAAATGTGCAGGTCTTTTGAAACACTTTGCAATAACCAAATCTTTTCAAATCTTTTGGAAACATTGAAAGGGATACATTGGCTATCCAACTGAGTTAAAATAACCACAATTGTATCGCGCATGCGTGTGCGGTAGCACCCTAACAGAGGCCTCTGACGTCAATTTGGACACCTTCAAACAGTTGTATTTCCCTAACGGCCAATTATAGGTGTGTCGGATTTGGTATCAAACGTCTCAGAATTTTGAGAGCTTTCCAACGAGCCATCATGCACTAAAATCGCTTAATATTTAAGAAATATGTGTTTTTCACCTCTCCAGCAAAAGGACTTCCAAGTCAGCAAATGGAAAAGACATTGTTCTACCTTGTGTGTTTGAGAAACGCACCAATTTTCGTTTTTGGAGTAAATGTGCAGGTCTTTTGAAACACTTTGCAATAACCAAATCTTTTCAAATCTTTTGGAAACATTGAAAGGGATACATTGGCTATCCAACTGAGTTAAATTAACCACAACTGTGTCTTAACCAACCCAAACTTTGCTCTCCGCGTTTTTGCAGAAGATTTTGATGTTATTATATTGCCTTATTAGCTGCGCTTAATAGGCTGAACAGAATTAGACTCATCCTTTGGATAGTGGATAAAAGGGGCAGTTGGGTAGCCTGGTGGTTAAAGTGTTCACTCATCACACCGAAGACCCAGGTTCGATTCCTGACATGGGTACAATGTGTGAAGCCCATTTCTGGTGTCCCCGTGATGTTGTTGGAATACCGCTAAAAGCGGTGTAAAACCTCGCTCACTCACTCACTCACTCACTAGTGGATAAAATCACAGACTGGCTTTAAACAGCGAAATGCTATTATGGTTTTGATCACTTATTCTTTCTTCCACCTTAAATTTTTCAGATGAATTAAATAATTATTTTGTTTCATGTTGTATATCTTGTGATTTCCAGAATACTTCGAAAATCAACTGCAGCTGCTGATATACTCCACACATCGATATGTTGAGCAGGCTTGGACGCCCAGCTTCACAGCTGTCTCAGATGCTTGTCAAGGGGTCAAGGTCGCTCAGCCAGACTGCCCCAGCAATTAACAAGGAGATCAAGATTGGCCCAAAGTCACAAGCTATATTTGAGAAAGAATCGAAATATGGTGCCCATAACTACGGCCCACTTCCTGTTGCCTTCAGCAGAGGAGAAGGTAGGATCTGAGATGAAGGAGTGATTGGGTGGATGGAGGAAGGTAGGATCTGAGATGAAGGAGTTATTGGGTGGATGGAGGGAGGTTGTCTCTGAGCTGAAGGAGTGATTGGGTGGATGGAGGGAGGTTGTCTCTGAGATGAAGGAGTGATTGGGTGGATGGAGGAAGGTAGGATCTGAGATGAAGGAGTGATTGGGTGGATGGAGGAAGGTAGGATCTGAGATGAAGGAGTGATTGGGTGGATGGGGGAAGGTAGGATCTGAGATGAAGGAGTGATTGGGTGGATGGGGGAAGGCAGGATCTGAGATGAAGGAGTGATTGGGTGGATGGAGGAAGGTAGGATCTGAGATGAAGGCGTGATTGGGTGGATGGAGGAAGGTAGGATCTGAGATGAAGGAGTGATTGGGTGGATGGAGGAAGGTAGGATCTGAGATGAAGGCGTGATTGGGTGGATGGAGGAAGGTAGGATCTGAGATGAAGGCGTGATTGGGTGGATGGAGGAAGGTAGGATCTGAGATGAAGGAGTGATTGGGTGGATGGGGGAAGGTAGGATCTGAGATGAAGGAGTGATTGGGTGGATGGAGGAAGGTAGGATCTGAGATGGAGTGATTGGGTGGATGGGGCAAGGCAGGATCTGAGATGGAGTGATTGGGTGGATGGGGGAAGGTAGGATCTGAGATGAAAGAGTGATTGGGTGGATGGGGGAAGGTAGGATCTGATATGAAAGAGTGATTGGGTGGATGGGGGAGGTGGGGAGTGTTGGGGTGGATGGGTAGAATGGTAGGGATGATGAGGGTGGCTGAGTTGTCGGGGGATAGGTGAGGGGGGCCTTAGTTGATGTAAGATGGGTGTGGATGAAGATGGGGATGAGGATGTGGATTTCAGGTAGGTAAGTGTGATGGTAGGCATGACTAAGGGAGTTGGTCCAGGTTGGCTGAGATGGCAAGGATTTCATGAAACTGTTCTGTAAATCAATAATAATGTGAAATTAGTATTTACCTGCCTGTACATGAATTCAGGTGTGTTTGTGTGGGACGTGGAGGGCAACAAGTACTACGACTTCCTGAGTGCATACAGCGCCGTGAACCAGGGCCACTGTCACCCCAGGATCGTCAAGGCCCTCAAGGACCAGGCGGACATCTTGACTCTGTCATCCAGGGCCTTCTACAACGACTGCCTGGGAGAATATGAAGAGTTCATCACCAAACTCTTCAAGTATGATAAAGTCCTCCCCATGAACACAGGTACGAATCATTGATGGTTCAGGGTATTATTTCTATCTCTAGTATTACAAATACCCTGAATCGTTCCACAAAGCGATCTTAGCGTAAGTCGACTGTGGAACGTCTGTGTTAAAGTATGGGAGTTGTCAGTTATGGTAATCAGTGCTGAGATCGCTTTCTGAAATGGGCCCCGAACCATTATGCTGCATTTGACTTATCCATGATCATGGGTTCGACTTTCCATATTCTTCGTAAAAGGCGACTAATGGGATCAGGTTAAGTCAGGCTGACTGACTTGGTTGATGCATGTCATTGTATCCCAAATGCGTGAATCGATGCTCATGATGTCAATCACTGGATTGTCTGGTCCAGACTTGATCACTAACAGACCGCCGTCATATAGCTGGAATATTGCTGAGTGCGGTGTTAAACAACAAACAAACAAAAATCATATTAAGCGCTCCTGTTCTATTAGACTCCCTGTAACCAAACTTCTCTCGCATATGATTTCATGATATAGTTGTTATACTGTTCAAAGCCGCAGTAACACAACTTCATTCAAATGAGATCACTTTAAAATGGGAGGTATTGTATTTCAGTAAGAGACTTGAGTTTAACGAGATCGCATTAAAAGGAGAGGTATTGTATTTGAGCAAGAGACTTGAGTTTAATGGGAGTGCATTAAACTGCCTGCCAGACTCACTTACTCTCCCTGTTTCACAGGCGTGGAAGGCGGGGAGACAGCCTGCAAGCTGGCCCGGAAGTGGGCGTACCTCGTCAAGGGGGTCCCCAACAACCAGGCTAGGATCATCTTCGCGGCAGGCAACTTCTGGGGACGGACCCTTGCTGCTGTCTCCAGCTCCACCGACCCCGACTGCTACAAAGGCTACGGCCCCTACATGCCTGGCCTCTCCATCGTCAACTACGACGATATTTCAGCTCTTGAGGTATGGTTGGAATATGTGTAATTTTTGGAATGGGTGCTATCCGTCCATCCTTCCTTCTTTCCGTGTGTCATGTTTGGTTTCCGGGGCAGGACTCAAAAACCAGGAGAGATATCGTAACCAAACTTGGCACATACAGGTAGATAGGTCTTGTGGTAAACTGGTGCCTTTTGGTAGTTTGGGATTTTTGTAAAATATATTTTTTAAGTTTCCATCCAGTTAGGCCATACATACTTTTTATGTGTTTCTCGCCTCCAACCTAATTAAAAAAAAAATTCTCTAACTGTTTAACTTATTTTATAACATTTTAAGATTTAAAACACTGGTACCAGTCTTTAACTTAAGTTATAACATACAGTAGAACACGGATATAACGAACACAGATAGAGCGAACAAACGGATACAACAAACTGTTACAAAATCCCTGATTTATCTCCTATATATTATCACATAAAATTTACGTTCATAACGAACTCTCTACAGCAAACTTACGTTGTATAGCGAACTGATATCTAATCCAGGACAAGCCGAAATTACACTAATAAGTGACGTGTAGAGTGAACTGACAAAACTCACTCATAGTCAATGACAATTAGCTGTACACAATCAGTGGTGACGATTCAACCTTGTTAAACTTGCTTTTATTATTCTTACCTGTACATGTAATTGGATTAATCTTGTCTTTAAAATACACATTAAACCTATGCAGTTTCAAGAAAACGTGATTTATTTGATCCCTTGTAGTTCCATGTTCTACTGTAGATTGAGTCACTTTGCTTCGGAAACAAGTTTTAATAAACATAGCTGAAGCAAGATGAAGCTGACCCATCCTCCTGAGGCAAGGGAGTTAACTGACTATTAAAATCTAGTTTCCACCCTTGCCGAAGGTGGCTGGAATTCCTTAGCTCGATTGTAGCCCCACCAGTGGTTATTACAAGTTATGTCCCTTCTTAGCCTCTCCTATGGACCAATCAGATTCCATCACTTGCATTTGTTTCAAACAAAATGGTGGTGCCCAGTCAAGACGATCTGATCATAATCAAGATCTATATTGTGATAAAAAAGGTCTTACCTCGCGAAGTGAATCAAATCACGTGAGCACCGTGATTAAAAACATGAAAAGACTTGGAAAATATCTGTTGACAACGAGTTGGCGGTGCACATGCTTTGCAAATCATGCAGTCGACTGAAATCTGCACGACAGTTTACTAACCGGATTTCTATTTCGGTGCTCGGTTTTGATTGGACTATGAATAGACTTGTTAGTCCAGCCAAAATGCAAGTGCATAATACCAGCCTAGTTTGGCAAGGGTGGAAACTGGACTTTAAAAGTCATTTAACTCCCTTGCCTCGGCGACCGCCGCTGTGGTCTAGTGGTAGAGCGTCCGCCCGGAGAGCGGAAGGTCCGGGGTTCGATCCCCGGCCGCGTCATACCAAAAGACGTTAAAAGATGGTTAAAAGTTGTTACCCTGTCTGGCGCTCGGCATTAAGGGGCTAAAACAAGGACTGATCGGCTCGGAGTCAGTATACTGTGTCTGGGGTATTCATGTTAAACTGCGGCATGGTATCTCAGTGAGCTAGCACTACCGGTATAAATCGGCATCAGTCCTTACTAGTAAAAGCAGCCACACACACACACACACACACACACACAAACGTGCATGCACGTCGCTATATAAATGCAATAATCTTGGACACGACGTTAAACCCAATTTCACTTCACCTCACCCCTTGCCTCGGGAAGATGCAGCTGACCTTGGTCTTTTTTGAGTGTGCAATAGTAGTAGTATTTGTTCTTTAACATCGTTGCATAATTTTCCACAGCATGAGGGAAAATTGAGATACAAAAACATTGTAATATTTCACATTGGAATGAAAGTTAAGGGTGGACAGGAGATGGGAAGCTCAGAAAAAAATATAGACAGCCTTAAACTACAATTAACAAAAGAAATAAGCTGTAAAGAGGTTGAATCACACTACACACCAGTTTTGACTTTGCCCCCAGAAAGAGCTGCAGGACCCCAATGTGTGTGCCTACATGATGGAGCCCATCCAGGGGGAGGCGGGCGTGGTCGTGCCCCAGGAGGGGTACCTCAGGAAGGTGCGGGAACTCTGTACAAAGTACAACGTGCTGTGGATAGCCGACGAGGTGCAGACGGGACTGGCCAGGACTGGAAAGTAAGAACAGCATACCTATTTCTCATACTATGTCTGTCTTTGTATTTACAGTTTCTTTACTTCTTCACAAGTTGGTATGATCAAGGGAGATAGTGTGGATATTTTGTTTTGGATTTTGTAAAATTTGCAATCAATGCAACACATTCTATGGTTATTCAACTTCTTTATTACGATCAATGTGACGTTCTGTGTATATGCAACTTTATTGCAATCAATGAGACGGTCTATGGATATACAAGCTCTTTATTACAATCAATGCAATGTTCTATGGATATACAAGTTCTTTATTACAATCAATGAGACGGTCTATGGATATACAAGTTCTTTATTACAATCAATGAGACGGTCTATGGATATACAAGTTCTTTATTTCAATCAATGCAACGGTCTATGGATATACAAGTTCTTTATTTCAATCAATGCAACGGTCTATGGATATACAAGTTCTTTATTACAATCAATGCAACAGTCTATGGATATACAAGTTCTTTATTACAATCAATGCAATGTTCTATGGATATACAAGTTCTTTATTACAATCAATGCAACATTCTATGGATATACAAGTTCTTTATTATAATCAATGCAATGTTCTATGGATATACAAGTTCTTTATTACAATCAATGCAATGTTCTATGGATATACAAGTTCTTTATTATAATCAACGCAACATTCTATGGATATACAAGTTCTTAATTACAATCAATGCAACATTCTATGGATATACAAGTTCTTTATTACAATCAATGCAACATTCTATGGATATACAAGTTCTTTAATACAATCAATGCAATGTTCTATGGATATACAAGTTCTTTATTATAATCAATGCAACATTCTATGGATATACAAGTTCTTTATTATAATCAATGCAACATTCTATGGATATACAAGTTCTTTATTACAATCAATGCAATGTTCTATGGATATACAAGTTCTTTATTACAATCAATGCAACAGTCTATTGATATACAAGGTCTTTATTGCAATCAATGCAGCGTTCTATTGATATACAAGTTCTTTATTGCAATCAATGCAACATACTATGGATATACAAGTTCTTTATTGCAATCAATGAGACATTCTATTAGTGGTGTAACGATACGGCGATACGGTATTGTATCCTGATGCACAGCCCACGATACGATGCATCGATTTGGAAAGCATGTATCGCGATACATACAATATTTTCATAACACAGTTTTACCTACCGTATTTTCTTGAGTATAGTGTGCACTTTTTTTCCAAAAAAACACAGCTGTGTAGAAGGGGTTGCGCATTATACACGAATTAATGAGTTTTGATGTTTTTCCCCCATGGAAAGACATTACCGTGAGCACGTAACACCGGAAATACCATGTCAACAAATCCATACTGAAGTTCGCAAAATATTCATGTAATTACACTGTCTGGCTATAAAAAAAGTGTTCTTTGTATATCTGGACTCGTCTTATCTGGATAACTTATTTCATTAATTTTATTCAAAATTCCTTTTAATATTGTTTTAATTAATTTCGGCGAAATCGTGTGTGAAGCGATCGGAAGATCGCACAACTCACCGTTATTAACAGCAACCACGGTCAGATTACCGCTATTGACGCCTTGAAAGGAATTTTAGTTGACAGAGAATGGATACATATATCATAAATGCCATGCTTTGATTCGTTAAAAGTCAGATTTGTTTTTGTTGGACGATTCTATGTCAACACGTAATTCTCGCGATCACGCAATCACGTGCACGGGAGCCTTGACAGTGACTGGTCAGACTGGTTCCATGTAAAAAATAATACCCGGCAATAGCGGTCAGCTGCTTCGCTTAGGCTTATTATTATTTTAAATATGTTTAGTAAAAGCTGCATCTAAATTAACAATATATTGGAATATATTATTCCTGATAAAAAAATAGTTTCAGATACAACTTTTGCCGATCCTTGCATTAAAATACTGTAAAGTTATATAATTGGGTGTGTCTTGACCGAATCATCGGTAGATTCCAAGAAAACGTGTGTACATGTACAGCTGATTGCTGTGTTCGCTGAAGGTGTACGGTGTAATTTTTTTCTGCACATAATGTTCAAATTTCTTTCTTTCCAAAATATTGAATCCGCTAGAGGGGCGTGCGCATTATACATTGGTGCGCACCATACTCAAGAAAATACTTGAAATACATGGGCGGATACAGCTTTTTTTAAAAGGGGGGTGCACAATTAAGATCTATTTATTGTCTTTGGTGGTAATTTATACAGAAATAAAGATTTTTTTCGAAATAAAAAGGGGGGTGGGGTGCGCCCATGAAATAGGTTTAACAGTTTCAAAGCCAGTTTGTTGTTTCAGTAAATCATACTGTATTGCTGACAATTTGCTATAACAGTAAATAAACACCTTATATCTTCTTCAACTGTACTTGTCACATCTTTTAGAAAGCAGAAAGACATCAATTTGGCTTAGCTTGTACCAGTAAACACTGTATCGTGATACGTATTGTATCGCGACCCCTGTATTGAGATACGTATCGTATCGCGACCCTCCCGTATCATTACACCTCTACATTCTATCGAAATACAAGGTCTTTATTGCAATCAATGAGACGTTCTATAGATACACAAGTTCTTTATTATAATCAATGCAATGTTCTATGGATATACAAGTTCTTTATTGCAATCAATGAGACAGCTATTGATATACAAGGTCTGAAACAATATATCTGCATATGAAACAGTAAATGGCCATTAAAACTAAGAACATAGTAAATTACCATTTCATATGTCTCCATTCCATCTTAATCTACATACATATTGCATTCACACATGTAATTAGATGATATTTAAGCAATGATTTATAGTTAAATTTGACAATACGTTTAGTTTACATTTAGCTAAATTATTTAACACTTAGGTTTCAAATGTATGTGAAAAACTGATTCGGCAAACTGAGCTGAAACGGAAGAAAAGTTGACTTACATAATAAGATGCTGAAAAAGGCAGACAAAGCAAGATGCTTGTGCTGTTGGTGACTATAGGTCATCAGAGTGAAAGTGGCTTTTGTTAAGTTAGTAGTTATGTAAGTACTGGAGTTAATTTAATTGTTTTTTATACTGCTCAAGTATGTTTGCTTGTTGGTTGTTTAACACCACACTCAGCTTATAAGTTATAAGACAGGGGTGTGTAACTAATCAAGTCTGGATAGGACAATCCAGTGATTGATATCATGAGCATCTATCTACACAATGATGACATGCATCAACAAAGGCAGTGAGCCTGACCACCCAATCCCGTTAGTTGCCTCTTATGACAAGCATAGTCTCCTGTTAAGGCAAGCATGGGCTGCTGAAGACCTATTCTACCCCAGATCATCACGGATCTACTGATCAAGTCATCTAGCTTGAGACAGAAACAGGCTGTAACAGAAACAAGGCAATATAAGACTTTACTAAAATATTTACAAAATAGCAATAAAATCAACTCGGCTACTTATTACTCACGGAAGTCAAATGAGCCAATTCCGTGCAAGAATTTTGTGCAAACCTAGCATTGCCTGAATTTGAATCACTGTTTAGAGCAAATGGTGCTGGCAAGGCTGTAGCACATATTGAGAAATACCCGGTAAGTGTCGTTAGTACAATCAGGCTGGATTCCCTCTCGCTGAAACAAGGCCATGATTTTTGGTATAAAATAGTGACGACACAGCAAAGTGTATATGTATGATTATGGAGCATTGACAATTAATTTCTGACACTGCCAACTTTTCTGTGTTTCAGGCGTCTCGCTGTCGACCACGAGAATGTCCGCCCTGACATTGTCATCCTGGGAAAGGCCCTCTCAGGAGGTGTGTTACCGGTAAGATAACATGTGTTTTGGCAAAATTAGGAATAATTTTAAACATGGATGATATTATTTCTTCATGATACAGGTGAACTACAAAGCTTTTGTCTCTGTTTTTATCCCCTGGTTTGAAAAAATGTGTCCGTCTGTCCTCTGTCCATTTTCTGTTTCCAGAGAAGAACTAAACCATTGAATATTTCTGGATGAAACTTGCTATACAGATCAGTCTAGTGGTGAACTGTTGCCTTGTGATGATTTTGGATCTATTTCTTAAAATTTGTTATGTTTTGTTATGTTTTCATAACCAAATAACTGATAACGACAAGTGGGATTGTACTCAAAATGTAAGAAGTGCTTGTTTTTGGAGCATAACTCTAAAACCGTTGAATATTTCTGGATAAAACTTGCTATACAGATCAGTCTAGTGGTGAACTGGTGCCTTGTGATGATTTGGGATGTTGGAAAATACTGAACAGCATTATCATCTTTTTCACAGAACTGAAGGGTTTGGATGTCAATGAACCAAAATTAGAGTATAAGTAGCCAAACTCCTCATTTCTGAATAGCACCAGATTGGGGGGATATGTCATCTCCTTACTCTTGTTGTATTTTGTATAAGTATAATGTTGTTTTTTCTGCAGGTGTCGGCTATCCTTGCTGATGATGAGGTGATGCTGACAATCAAACCAGGGGAGCATGGCTCAACATTCGGCGGCAACCCCCTCGCATGTAAAGTTGCAATTGCAGCATTACAGGTAATTGTGTACCTTTATCGTTACCATGGTTACCTGATGTGTTATTCAACTCCTGCTACAAGAAGAGTGTTGTGATTCCGAGGCAGAACAGTCGATCCCTCTTTGCCATAATCAATTCCTTGCCTCACTACCAAACACCCAGTCCCACATTCATTTAATGTCACCAAAATGCAGGTAAATTAAGAAAATTGGTATGCGAGTCCCCTTCTTCCTTTTCATGAAATACACCATATACTGTCCTTTCAAAAATTGATGCTTCATGTGCTAGTAGTTAATGATGGTTGGGTGATGAAGATGGTGGTAGGATGATGATTGGGTGATAATGATAGAGTGATGGTATGATGATGATGATGATGATGATGATGATGATGATGTTAGGGTGATGGTATGATGATGACAATGATAGTATGATGATGATGATAGGGTGATGATAAAATGATGAGGGTGATGATATGATGATGACGATGATAGTATAATGATGATAATGTTAGGGTGATGGTATGATGATGACGACGATGGTAATAAGATGATAATGTTAGGGTGATGGTATGATGATGATGACGACGATGATGATGATGATGATGACTATATTTCTGTCTGCAGGTTCTGGAGGAGGAGAAGCTGGCTGACAATGCTGAGAAGCTGGGGAAGATCCTGAGATCAGAGCTGGGCAAACTGCCCAAAGATGTCGTCAGCATCGTCAGAGGGAAGGGTCTACTGAATGCAATTGTTATCAACAAGAGTAAGTCTTCCACAGATCAGTTTCATGTCAGCAGGCACACTGCGTTATCTAGAGTTGTGGCCTGCTCCTGGAACTTGTTAGTAAATTCAGCAGGGTTTTATTACACATCATCAGAGTAATAGAAAGCAATGGGGATTCAGGTAGAAAATAGGTCTTCAGCAACCCTTGCTTGCAGTTTAAGATCACTATGCTTGTCGTAAGAGGTGACTAACGAGATCGGGTGGTGAGACTCGCTGACTTGGTTGATGCATGTCATCGTATCCAAATTGCGTAGATCGATTTTCATGATGCCAATCACTGGATTGTCTGGTCCAGACTTGATTATTTACAGACCGCCATCATGTAGCTGGAATATTGCTAAGGATAAACTACCAACCAAACAAACAAGCATATAAAACTGCTGAGATTAAATGTTTTCATGTTTGACATGTTCTTGTCAGAATGTTTTTGGTTGAGTTTGTTTGTTTGTTTGTTTGTTTGTTTGTTGTTTAACTCCACACTCAGCAATAATCCACCTATACAATGGTGGCCTGTAAATAATTGAGTCTGATCGAAAATATGAGCATCGTCAGGGTACAGTGACCATGCTCACAAGCCAGAATCCTCATGGGGGGCCACATCAGAAGGACTAAATCAGTACAACAACAACAACAATAATAATAGGCAGGCATTTATGTTGCGCATATTTCCACACGACACAGGGGCATGCTCAGAGCGCTATTATTACCCTGGTCACTGGATCAGTGTGCACTCAAGAATCATTCTCAGCTCCCTGGAAAGTATACAACCCAAGCTGCCTGTTTGGTGCTTGGAGCTCTTTGGTGCTATGGGGTTAACAACCACAATGTGTGAAAACCATTCTTGGTGTTCCCCCACTGTAATTTTTTAAGGAATAGAGAAGTGTCAAACCATACTCAATCAGAACTAATGAAAGAATTTTTCTTAATTTTTTTTCTATGTTTTCTTCCAGAATGGGATGCTTGGAATGTATGCGTGAAGCTTCGTGATAACGGACTCCTGGCCAAGCCCACGCATGGCGACATCATCCGTTTTGCTCCGCCACTGACGATCACAGAATCCCAGTTGCATGAGTGCATTGAAATCATCAACAAAACAGTCCTGTCATTCAAATAAACAGCTGATCAGTCAGTTTCAGCATGTATATTACATTGTTGATATAACTCAATTCAAATTTCAGACAGCTGACACAACTGCTGCTTTTAGGAAGCTGTTGTGTTGACATTGCAGGTAGGGAAGTGTTTGATGTTTGGATGCAGTTTTAATGGTGTTTTCTTTCGCTTTTTGGGGCTCTGCGATTTGCTGTGCAGAGTTGCGTCTCTTGGGCACCCCAAAAACCTATGATTGTGGGTTCGAATCCCGTTTCGCTCCGATTATGTTTCTTGGTTTGTCAGCACTATACCTGTGATCGTTATTTACAGTGTGGTAAACGTCTGAGACCTGCATTACTTCGGGCTTTCCTCCCACATTAAGCTGACATGCCGTGATATAACTTGAATGCTATTAAAAGCAGCGTTAAACCCAACTCAATCACTCACTTTAGCTTTTGCTATATTTACAGAAAATATCAATATGCATGAATATGGCCAACTACTATTAGAACATTAATATGAATTGCTAACTTGAAAGATATATCAAGAACCTCAAATTCAAATGTAGATATTGTAAGTAGATGATTTGTAATTGAAATATCCTGACAACCGTTCTGCAATGAACACATTCACGTTTACAATAAATTACAAGTTGAATTTAATTTGGAAAATATTTTGATGAAGATATAAGTAGAGGTAATCATGCAAGAGTGTTTGGGGATGGTAAATATCCTGTATTAGGAATAAACAATGTATTTAGCGAGCCTTGGCAGAGGTCTACAAGCACAGATATGGAAACTGAACCCGCTTAGCTAGTGTTCTTGCACAACTGTTTCGCAATTTATATCTCCAAAGCTGCCAAAAGTTGTAAAATGCCTTAGCTATGTCACAGTTGGACACTGATTTTCAATATTTCAGACTATTCTTTTGATAATGACAGCAATTATCCCAGTAGTTTCCCCGATTCCCGATGGTTAATTCTTACTCGATCGCCGAATGACACGGGCGACGCCATGTTTCTTATAAACTCTGAAAGTAGTCCCTACTTGACCTTTGATATTTGCATCTCTATCAGTGTATGATCCCAAGGGAAATAGTTTTTATCCGTTGGCTTTATCCTGCCGAGAAACCTACCCATTATTGGATAAATATCATGTGAAAAAATCGGATTCAGGTTCCATTCCCGATTCTCAAGCAGGGTTGTTTACTGTGAATTTGAGGAGTGTTTGTTAAAGGCAACAGTGTAAAAGTGTTGGGAGTGTTAAAAGAGTGTTTATAGGTGATAAAATGTGTTTCTAATAGGGGAGTGACGCTTGAGTTTATTTGTGAAATCTATGTTTTATACTTGAGTGACTTGATAAATTAGTAATAACTAGTGTTTGATCTTTTTGTCAGTTTATATATAAAGCATGCTTTCATTCCAGTTGAGACAGCTGTTTATTGACAGGACTCCTTGTAATAGAAGACTTCAGATCACTCATATCAGTAGGACAAAGTTGTTATGTAAGCTTAATTTGCTTTGGCTTGACCAAAGACACTCCATTACAGGAATCTTTATCTTCACTATTTCGCCAGGCTTTTTTTATTTTTAGGATTATGGATAAGGGATTAGGGAAAAAGAAAAGAAAAAAAAGACAGAAGCATTTTTTTTAATCCAGAATGCCTCTGGCATACTTTATGAACACATTCTGTGCTCAAAAGACCACCATTTGTGACAATAAAGCCCCTTGTAACAATAAAAATTCTACCACTTACAACACGGACAATTGTCAAGGGAGGCTATTCATTTTCGGCTTTGAGATCAACAAAGATGGATTATGTATCTCTTTACTAGTTTTCAATGGTAAATTCAGCGGCTATCGGTGGGGAAAAAAAGTGGAAATCTGATTTTTGGATTTGTTACATTTTCTCAAAAATTAGAGTCGGCGGGTCTGTAATCCGAAAAATATAAAATGCCTGGCCTAAGACAATGTGTATATCATCCATGCATATCATATAAGGCCATGAAGAGTTTATTTTTGCTTAATTATTATTTGTTGTTTATCACAAAGTGCTTCAGCTTTCTGAATAGTGTACTTACAACCCTGTATTATTATTAACTTTTATCAACTAAAGGGTAAAACACGCTCTCGTGGGACAGGGTCGAATGTGTACTTTTAAAAACGTGAAGGACCGCCGGATTCTTTCATGTTATTAAACTATAGCAATATGAAGGAATGTGGTTGTCCTTCCTGATATCACATCCAGATATATATTGTTCACATAACTTTATGATTAAACTTTGGAAGTTTGGATTCTTTTCCAAGTTAACAAATAATTATTTTATTTGGGTAAAAATGTGTTTCAAGACTGAAAGACTGTTCTAGAACCAATAAGGAATTTTCTATTTTTGAACATTAAATTGTTCGTTCTGTGAAATGACTGGAAGGTCAAAGTTTAGTTTATTCAAACGTGGACTCCAACTTTGTGTCTCCACTCTCTTCAGTTGTGTTTTTTTCAGCATGTATCGTGCCATTTTTTAAGTAATTGGTGTTGATTTATTATGACCTATTTTCCATGTATTCTCTTGTTAATGTATATTTCCCTTCAGACCAAGGGATCAGAACAATTGTTTTTCTGGTTTTTGCAGATGAAGCTGCCTTAAATTTTGCAAAATTAAAGAACATTGACAAATATGTAGACATAATTTTTTTAGGGCACAATCCTAAATTTTTCTTTTTGCATCTTGGCATGCTGACAAGAAAATATGTAAAACTAGAAAAAATAAATAAATCGATCTTACCTCATGTTTAATATATTGTGTGGGATAGCTCTTGATCTATCACTGTTTTGAATCTCCAACATTTGCAAACAGTATTGACAGTTTTATTCACGTTGTTTTGAAATATTTATATTTCAAAGGATAGCCAAAGTTTGTTATTGTTTTCATTGCCTACCATGGACATGTTTTTTTCTTCATACTAATATACCAGGGATTATTTTGGGGTTGGTAATTGGTTTTAAATGGGGAGTTTTTTTGTTTTTTGACAACATTGAGTAATCTCTATTGACAGCGTTTGAAGAAAACTGATGAAACACATTTCTTGAGAACAAGTTGTTTTACTTGAGAATAAAATCTCCATCCTATATGGAGTATTGATCCAGCATTGGTGTTTTTGTCTACCATCATCAGTTTCCATCAGTATCATTTTGCCAATGTACCTTATGTATAGACAAATAACATCATAACATAATAATAGTTGTATTTTAGTTGTTAATTATCTTTTCTTATTGATACTAGTCACTTTGGCCTCATGCATTTAGTGCTGCAATTGGGGCTGGCTATCAATGTTTGGTTTTTTATGGTTGTCCAAATATTTGAAAATCTATTCAAAATATTATCAACGATAATAACTTAGATTTACGCTCCCCATTTCTTTGAAGGAGAATTTAGAATCCAGTGGAAGAATCCATTTGTTTTACTATGTTGATCTATCACATTCATTAGCTTACTTGAGGTTACCATATCAGAAGAAATCCACAATGGATAATTTGGATGGTCAACATCATATGATTTACATATTTACAATATGTATCATTTCAAAATGAATAAATTCCACATATCATTTTCAGCATGCGTTTGGTTTTTTAATGATCTTCCAGACGGAACTGCCTCTGAGCGTCTTCCTGGAGAGTGGAGGGTTTGTGGTACATGTTACTATCACACCTAAAGACTGTTAACCAGTATAGCATTCACCTTTATCCTCAATGGTCACACTGTATATCTTTTCGTCTAAACAATCATCTATCTATTGTCATGTCCGGAAAGAGATGTTCAATGTTTCATCACCCTGCTTATGTTGTGTTGTTAACCACTTGCTAACCGTTTGAAGCAAATCGGCGAGATCAGCTGATCAGCTGATCAATCGGGGAGATCAGCTGATCAATCGGCGAGATCAGCTGATCATTCCAGGTCGCGTTGTTGAAGTTTTGCAGTCAGTACTGAAAGTGATGTGTACTCCAATCATACTCCGATAACTTAGTTCCGCATTAGTAATGACAAGTTTCATTGGAAAGTACACAATTTTAATGTAGAGGAAATGGAACACACACAGGGTCCAAAGACAAGTCAAATACCGTGTATAACCGCCCCTGGATGCTATTCATGCCACACAACGCCTTCTCATGGACACTATCAGTCTCTGGATAACAGTTTGTGGTATCCTACGCAACTCATGTTGCAGGTTGATGTACAAGTCCCACAAGTGCCCCATGGGTGATAGATTGGGAGATAATGCTGGCCATGGGACAACAGGTAGGTTATTCTGTGCTAGGAAGTCCGCGGAGCTGTATATTCAATGGAGTCCTGTTGGAAAGTGGTGAGGTGAAATGGGGTTTAACGTCGCGTCCAAGATTATTGCACTTATATAGCGACGTGCATGTGCGTGTGTGTGTGTGTGTGTGTGTGGCTGCTTGTACTAGTCCGGACTGATGCCGATTTATAGTGCTAGCAAACTGAGATACCATGCCGCAGTTTAACCATCTTCCCAAGGCAAGAGAGTTAACCGACTTTAAAAGTACAGTTTCCACCCTTGCCGAACAAGGCTGTAATTCCTGGCCTCGATCGCAGCGCCACCTTTGGCTATTACGAGCTATATCCTTTCTATGCCTCTCCTATGGACCAATCAGATTCCACCTCTCGTATCACTTGCATTTCTTCAAACAAAATGGCGACGCCCAGTCAAGACGATCTGATCAATGATAAAAAAATATATTGTGATAAAATGAGTCTTACATCACGAAGTGCATCAAATCACGTGAGCACCTTGATTAAAGACATGAAAGGATTTAGATAATATCGGTTGACAACGAGTTGGTGGTACACATGTTTTGCAAATCTTTCAATCGAACGAAATCTGCATGATAGTTTACGAACAGGATTTCGATTTCGTTGCTCGATTTTGATTTTGTTGCTCGACTATGCATAGACTCGTTAGGCTAGCCAAAATCTACCTCCATAATACCACCCTAGTTCGGCAAGGGTGGGAACTGGGCTTTAAAAGTCTGTTAACTCACTAGCCTCGGGAAGATGCAGTTTAACATGAATACCCCAATCAGACACAGTATACTGACTCCGAGCCGGCCATTCCTTGTTTTAGCCCTATAATGACGAGCGCCAGAAATGGTAACAACAAGTACTATCTTTTAATGTCTGTTGGTATGACGCGGGGATCGAACCCCGCCACCACATCGATCAGTCTGCACAACACAATCATAACGTTCACCATGGCGACGCCATACCCGTCGGCGTTGACATCTGGATTTGTCAGAGACCATTGTCTGTACCCCAGCGACCATTTCCAAAAAATAATGTTAGAACATACGAATATCCAACCTCCATTACATTATAGCCATAACTTCCCATTTTGGCAACAATCACACCAAAATAATCTTTAGATTTTTCAACAGACGTCCTCTTCACTGCCAATTATCCCAATAGTTTTGAGGTAAACACTATCCCTTGTCAAACTGCATCTGCGCATGCGCAAGGCGGGAAAACATCACTTCTTTCCTGTGTGTGTTGCTACCGTCATCGGGAGTCTGCTTGTGTGTGGAATTGATCAAGCGATCGGAGACCCTCACCCGAGATGTAGTACGTGCACGTGCACGCCAAGATCAGGATGCTTAGCAAAGGAAACATTTGACAAGCTCTATAAAGCCCTAAATTGTCCAAGTCTAAATCCAAGATGAAGACTAGATCATCGGACAAAATGGCTACATCGTTTTCTCCCCAAACCCAATCTAAATCTAATGTGGAAAAGTGTTCTCTCAGATAAACTGACTTCCTCAGAGAAACACACGGGCACTCTAGTGGTGATGTATAAAGAGAACCTGTTGTTTTTGCTTTTGGGGGAAAATCACTGTCACGGCTTCAGAAACCTGCAACAGTGACTCCGATTGAACACCCCAAACGGCTTTTGAGATGACCCCCATATACGGTGCACATGCTTGTTCATTACCTGGCTGTTCCATGAGCGACTGGTCCTCCCTGGTATGGGATGGCGAAAATGTCAACAATATGATGATCGTTTGTTAAACAATTTTTTTATTCGGGTGCCCAAAATTATGAGACAAACCATCAGAGTTGGTCTGTCCAATTCATGTCGCTGTGCACATTTTGGTTTTGTTGCAATTATTAGATTTTGAGTTAGTGAGCAATTCATCGGTCTCAAATGGAATCAAACGGACTGCAGTCCGTTTGACTCCAAATGAGAACGATGAATTGCAAAATTCTCGGTATTCTACTGGCTCCATTGTCACACCCTACTCGATCATAACACCTGTAAAAGTGGTAAGATTAATAGTTCGGTGCTGCAAATTCAGACATAACCCATAGCTACATGTATCATTACACATGTGGAATTTCAACCAAATATGATAACCCTAAGTGGTTTAGGGGAAATCTTTAATGAACACCCCTCGTCGGTTGGACTGTTGCTGGCCGTAGTACATCTCGTGACTAATAACTTGGCTCTATCTCGTCAACGACTGTGGCCACACAACGCCTCCATCAGGTTTCTACTATTACCCGACCAAGGGATTCCTTTACGAGTTGTCCAACGTCTCGTAATTTGAACGATGTGTTCGATCGTCCAACGTCACCCTTGACGATGCCCCATACCAGCTCGATTGGATTCAGGTCGCAGTGATAAGGTGGCAGTCGTAAGACAGCGTGACCCTGACCCTTGATGTAACTGTCAACTTTATACACGGGGTCAGGTTTCATAGTTTTGATGATTTCATAGAGCTGTGGTTTCGTCGCTCGAGAAGGAAAGGTAATGTTCCTCCGTTGCAGCCAAGTAACCATGTCTCCTTTACGGTTATTAGTGGTTGGAGTCTTGCTTTCTTGATCCTGCACACTATGATACGGTGCATTGTCCATGACAATGAGAGACTTGGTAGGCAAAGCAGGGACTAATTTATCTTTCACCCACTCCAGAAATACATTGCCGTTCATTTCTGTGTGGTAGTCCCTGTTGTCTTTGGCCTTGGCTCTAAAGACGAGGTCACAGTCTGGGAGAAAACCCTGACTAGCAGAACCAGCATGGAGAACTATGAGTCTTTTACCCTTTCCTATTAGTAACTTTCTACCAGACTCCTTACAGTCACCACTGGGTACCCACTGACTGCTGGATGTGTGTGACGCATTTACCCATGTCTCATCTAAGAAGACGGGCTCATATCCTTCTTCACGTTTCTGCTTGACGGTACGAAGGTAACGATTTCGGAGACGAACAATGTCAGACCGTTCACACAACACAGCCCTATTTTCTCCAGTTATCTTTTTATATATGTAGACCGCCTCCGTCGTCAAGTGGTAGGGCGTCCGCCCGGAGAGCGGAAGGTCCGGGGTTCGATCCCAGGCCGTGTCATACCAAAGTGCAATAATCTTGGACGCGACGTTAAACCCCATTTCACCTCACCTCACCTTTTGTATTTGTAACCAAATGTATGCAACAGCTGCCATAGTTTGTACTTTGTAAGACGTAAATCATGGTCAGTTTCAAGGTGTTTCTTCAAATTTCTTAGGGACAGGTACTTATTTTCTGAGTGCAGTTTAACAATTGCACGTCTGACTTGATTCCTCTGAAAACTGTCTAATATATCAACCTTGCGTGGTTTTGACATGTTCCCTACCTCCTTGGCCTGACCATTTGTATCTCGTCGACTAACAACATTTTTAAGTTTCTGAGGGGACATACCAAGAGCTTTTGAAGTTCGTTTCAAGAATTTATTTATTGCATATAAAGGCTTTGCTCTTTCTGCTTCACTTCTAAAGAAATCATACACATTCAACATCAACTGTTTAACATCTGCTGAGTAGCGCATCTTGTCATTGAATGAACACGGTCACTGTACACAGGTGCAGACCGTGCTTGCGCTGTTTCTTCCACGGTTGGTCCCCCCTACGTGTCATGTACACATTTCTATACAAAATTACATGATAGTTTCTTAAAGAACTTCATCCGTCATGGGTCTTAAATTGAACAAAATTCAGATTTTGTTGGGTACAGGGTATTCATGGTCAAATACCGTATTGATGTTTCATACACTTTTCTGGATTTTCTGAATTCATCGTTCTCATTTGGAGTCAAACGGACTGTAGTGGAGGGGATAATGATACTCCACAACTGCTCTGCCTCCGTGAGAGTACAGTTGTGTAGTCCCACCCTCCCGTTCATCACACACATATTGCAGTCGTTAAGAAAGTTCAGTAACATGTATCCAGCTGCATTCGCACATTCTACCAACCTATTTCTGGGTTTTACATTATTTGCAACTATAAATTCTGAATCTTCCCCGATTCGTGCATGGAAGTTTCCAGCTAAAACCGATTCTACACAAATTCTGATATTCAAATATATGTTCAATCAGTGTATCAAATACAACTTACATGATCTCTTTGAGCAAATAAGAGGAAGGGAGGCCACCCCAAAGCATTCCTAACTGTAGGCCACTCCGCTGCATTCCTAACTGTAGGTTGGTTGTCCGTTAATAATCGAGTCCGGACCAGACAATCCTGTGATTAATACCTTGAGCATCAATCCACGCAATAGGGATCGATGACATG